GGGTTAGTTAGTCATTCAGAAGGTGAGCAGAAGAAGTCTATGCAACGATTCAGGCATAGCTCCACACGTGCCACATGTGCGGTCAAGTGCGCAGCTGCCAAGGAGATAAAGAACTGGAACCCCGAGCACGTTTCCCACTTTTCAGTTTCCAGTTTATGCCACTCTCTGAGCTTTTCTTGGTACAATACTCGTAAGTAGGAGTTCTATAGTATAGAGTCTATACCCTTTCTGACCAGCGGTGTATGTTACATTTGAGAAGTTTCCCATCGAATGGATCTCCTCGATTCCCTAATTCCCTGATAGCCCAGACAGATACTCCCCAGTCGGAGGTGAAATCCGCTTAGAATAGTTTTTAAGAGCCGCATCGAAAGAGTATGCATACGATCGGTGGGGAACCGATCCTCAGTCTTGCCACTTCTTGTCTCGTTCTTTTCATTGCCAGCAATTTGTTGCATCCACAACAGAGTGTGGCAGGGGGAAGAGAGGCAGTGGCAGTGGCAGCATCGCAGCAAAACCTTCAATGACTGATGGCGACCTCAATGCAAGCCACACGTTTCCGAGGCTTTTTTCGGCTTCTCGGTCTTGGTCAAAGTTTTGTTGTTGCTGTGGCACAGCCTTGTGGATGCTGTTGCTGGTGGTGCTGCTGGTGGTGCTGCTACGTGCGGTTTTTCCTCAGATGCTGCCTCGTCCAAGTGGAAATCATTGCGGTTGTAAATTTTGCAATCAAATAATTTTTCATTCGCTTTTTCCAGCCATCCGCCCCACGCTCCACTCCATCCTCTGCCTCCTCTTCAATACCAAGTCGACCTGATTTTTCTTTTCATTTTGGGTCTGCTCTGAGATCTGAGATCTTCTCCCCTGAGAAGAGGTGCTTTAAAGGAGGATGGTGCATAGGGGAGGAGCAGGAAAGTGTTTGCAGCTTGACTTTGGCCAAAACGTTTTGACCTTTGACGCTGCATCGTGTTCGAACATTTAAACGGAAGTTGATTGCCGCCAAAGGTTAAGCTCAATTTCCGTTCGAGTTCGAGCTGGAGTTGGAGTCGGAGTCGGGGTTTTCGTTCTCTCTTTTCGGCCAAGTTAAGAACTCAATTGCCACAAACAGCTGGTATTGTTGTAACCCTTGTAGCACTGTTGCTGTTGCCGTTGCTGATGTAGTTTAGAGTTCATTTCGTTGGTCAATTGCTCGGGTCAGACGTTTAGTTGCCTGTTAGATTGTTAAATAAGTTATTTTTGTTGTCTTCGCCAAGTTGTGGCCCTCTCAGATTGTTAGAAGAGCAATGCCATTGTTTGGGCCATTTTCACAAGATTTTGGGGAGGGAACGAAATGTTTTTTGGGCTACGCTACAGAAAGAAATGCTTGTGGAATTGTTATAAGGTTTCTTTTTGGTATATTTACTTTGTATGAATTATCATGAGCTATATGTACCTATATAGAATGAGGAAAATCGTTTCAAGATGATTCTTTATATGGATTTTGAGTTTCGACATCGGAAATAGTGAATCTGTATATGGAACATGTCTATATGAATATCTTTAAATGACCTGTGGCACTTACATTGGCTCAATATTTCAACCAAAACGGAAAACACATAGAGAAAAATATTCAACATTTTCATACTTTTAAGTTTTGTTTTGACACTTTTGAAGCCAGTATGAAGGAAAACCAGTGGACTCATTCTCTCAAACACACCCACACACAAATAGAGATTAGCTGAACACCCCTCCTTCTCTTTCCCCGCCAAAAGCTCTATCCCAGTGATATTAAACTCATTATCATCATTATCATTATAAGTCTCTTAATAATATTATTCCCAACAAATCTCTACAACTCTCTAACAATTATTCAACAATTTTTTACAACATTTCCAAAGATATCCCTGTGGACGGAAGTCCACGTTAGGAACATACCTACGAGTACTTAGACTTTGAACGTCTCTCGGAATCAGGTATTGCCTTACATCCGAATATCATATGCAATACATACATATGTACATATGCATATCAGGTATAATTCTGCTCAACCTCCTGTCCAATATATTACCCACTAAAAAGCTCAACAAACTCGGGAGGGGGAGGGTCATAAAATCAGTCGGCTGTCAAAAATTCGCACTAATTCGTGTTTGGAAACACCGTTAAAAGCGTTCACAGTGGGACAGACTCTCTGACATAGAAGTAATTATAATGGCCCACAGCCGATCGAGCTGCTGTCCGCTGACATTGTCGGTGGAATCTCTTGACCATTTACCATTTACAAGCTCAGCTCAGCTCGGCTTACAATGGAGGCCCATTGTGTGGCGCGCCCCCGCAATTTGTGCGAGTGTGAGTGGGTGTCCGTGTCTGTGTCTGTGTCGGTGTCGGTGTCCGTCTCCGTGTCCGCTGTGGGGCATTCAAATGCAAACGGGGCAACGGACCACCGTTACAATGTGGCTCATTAAAACCAAAATGTTCATGTAGCAGCCGCCAAACAATAAAACAGCTACACAGCAAACAGAAATGTGTAAAATCTGACGCGCAGTCAAACCATAACAATAGCAGAATCAGAATCAGAGTCGGAATGGGAGTTCGGAATGGGAGGCAGTTCAGAATGGGATTCAGACTCGGAAAGGAATGGGAATGAAAGAGCTGTGCTGTTTTTTGTTTGCCATAAAATATTTCACGCCAATTTCAATTCTCCGTAGAGGAGTGGAGCGGAGTGGAGTGCTCTAAAGACAGCATCAAAACGTCACTCAGACTTAAGGCGCCTCCAAAGCGGCGCGCCGCGGCGGGTAGAATTTTAAAATTCATTAAATCGAAAAGAGAACCAAAATAAAAACAACAAGAATAAATAGCTTCGAGACGAAGCTTTGGATACCCTAACAAATCGATCATTAAAATAAGATTTTAATTAAATTTAAACTCATATTATTTATTTTGGTTTTACTCTCTCGGTCCCGAGTCTGGAGAAGAATAAAGCTCTAAGCAATGGGAGCAGTTTATATATTAAGAATGAACATACATATATGTATAGCAGATATCGTCCGTTTAATTATACATATCTTCAAGGATCGGAACAACTTCCTTCTCAAACATGAAATACCCTCTGCAATACCCTCTGCAATACCCTCTAAAAACCATGAAACTGTGCCAAGCAATGAGCAAGAGCAAGAGACGTGAGTATAAGCATGAGCATGAGCATCCAAAAAGCCAGCAATTACACACAATGAAACATACGACGGGAGCACAGAGAGCAAGCCAAGCCGAGCCAAGAGAGAGATAGAGAGAGAGAGAGAGAATTAAAGCCGGGCCTGTATCACGGAAGTATGTCAGCAGGTCGTCTCTCTCTCTCTCTCTCTCTCTCTCGCTCGTCTCTCTGTTTCTTGGCTAACGGTTGTTTTTCCTCTGCTTGCTGCCACGCTTAGCTGCGCATGCCTAGCCGACTGCGCTGCGCTGCTTCGATGGCGCTGCTTCTTTCCGCATACTAAGCCTAGCTCTGGCAACATGTTGCTGGACCTAGAAATGTAATGTTGCTACGGCAACAACCTGTTGAAAGCGAAATTTTCTCTTTCGCCCAAAGCTGGACAATGTCTAGCTTTTGATTGCGGCTTCTTCTTTGGGGCACCCATACACATGCAATCGCACATACACACACACACACACGCACACGAACGAGCGCTTATACCAGGCCAAGCCTCAAAATCAAGTTAACTGTTAATGCACCAAAAGAGAGACAGAGAGAACAGAGCCAGCTTGCTTTACCGTTTCTTTCATTCCCCGTTTCGTTTCGTTTCTTTTCTTTTCGTTTTGTGTTTCCAAATGAACTTCTATAATTGTTGTTGGTGTGGGCTGCCTCCTCCTGCTCCTCCTCCTCCTCCTCCTCCTCCACCTCCTCTCCTTCTGCGTCGCGTCTCTTTTTTTGGGATCCACACCTGTACTTTCATTGTCGGGCTTTTTATATGATGTTGCTTTGGCTGTGGCTCTGGCTGTGGCTCTGCCTCTTGGGAGAACTTCCACTTGCTTGGCCCCCAATCAAGCGTGGTGCCCCATCGAAATACAAATAATCGAATACGATAACATATTCGTAGCCAAATGTGCTCTACCTCTCTCTCTCTCTCTCTCTCGCTCGCTCTTTCTGACCAATTTATATGCTAATTTTACTGATTATTAATGTTTTGACCCAAATTCCATTTGGAAATTATTATTGGCCGATTCTGGTATCGGTTTTAGTTTCTTCGTTTCGTTTCGTTTCGTCTCATTTCTATCCTCTTCTCTTTCTACTTGTTTATTTTATGGATATTATAGCTTATCGAATGTCTTAACTTAATCTATCGCTTCGTCTCCATCTCCGTCTGCGTCTGCGTCTGATGCTTAGGGCCAGGAACGGCCAGTGAGGAAGCCCCGTGGAACCCTTTTGTTTCTGGTCAAAAGGCGGCCCCGTCGTTCTTAGATTTTTGTTTAATATTTTCATATTAAAGAATCATTAGTGGGGGCTATCAGTGTGCTGGGATCGATGTTGCAGGTTGCCTGTCAGCAAGTGCAGGCATTGGGGAAAGATCATTAGGCAGGCGACGGGGGAAGATTTCTTCAAGGCGGAAGCATTTCTTGTAAGCTTAAATGGAATCCATGCTTAATCTATGGGAAGATGTACATATACCAGGAAGATTAAATACGAGTAGAAAATCCATTAAACTGCTATCAATGAGATATGAATGGGGTTTCACGTATCAGAGGGGGGGAGCCTACGTACTGCGATCTCCGCGATTTACTGTACTCTAGAGAAGTAGGGGCTACTCGCATTCTATAAGTAATACCACAACGTAGAGATCCCTGAACTAACACATTTTGTTGGTCAATGCCCGCAGATCACTTGAAACTCCTTTCTTTGCCCAAATGCCATGACTAAATACAATATTTTCTTTCTGTTTTATAATTGCAGTTGAAGCTTGGTTTGGATTGGATTGTTTGAAACGTGCTATTCCAAGGATCGGCAGAAGATTCGTATCGATCGCCTGGGTCCACTGACAATGAAGTTTTGCAGCATGAACGGCCCAAGTGAATCGGAAGTTGAAAGCCTCTTGATGAGTCCCTGCTGGGGACCGCCACAGAACAGCGGCCAGGATCAGTATCTGCTGGATGGGCACAAGCTGCTCCTCGAGCACGACCTGGACTCCCTGCCCAGCGACGCTGATCAGAAGAACTCGCTGGACGTGCTGGACAATCTGCTGCTCAATGGCTCCTCATTGAATGCGCTGTCCGACCTGAAGCCGCTGCCCCCCTTCACCGGCTACACGGGCCACCTGTCCATCAACGGCATCTCGGGCCATCACTACCATGCCATTGCCCAGCGGCTGCCGGACGAGAGCAACAACAATTACATACAGAGCGCCTACCAGGCCAATCCCAATGCCAATCCCACATCGACGACGGCCCAGAGCGGGCCCAACGGCGGTGGCGGTGGCGGTGGGGGGAGTGGCGGCGGGAGCAGCAACTCCTCCAACGAGCACAACATAGTCTCCTCCTCCACCTGCCTGCCCGAGAGCGTACTGAGCGGGGATCCCTGTGCGGACGCCTGCCTGGCAGATGTCAAGCTCTTTGCCGATAGTCAACTAGATTCTAAGCTTTACTCCGTCGCCGACAGTTGTGTGATGAGCGGGCCCGGCGGTGGGGGACCAGGTGGAGCGGGATCGGGCGGCGGGGGACAGGGGAACGGGCCGAGCATAGCCACATTGACGCCGATCGATCAGGTGGCCGACTCGCTGCATGGCAGCGGGGTGCGCATCTACAAGGACCTGACGGAGTACGTGGACATGAACTCCATCGACGATATAGCGGCCATCATTGGATCGGCCATTGCGGACACGACGGTGCCCAATCAGCTGGACAAGGACGATGGCAACGACACGCGGGACAGCTGGATGGATCTCGATGCCTGGATCGACGGCAACTGCATCCAGCAGGAGGGCAAGGTGCTCGTCTCGCAGCAGGACTCGCTGGGCGATTTCATGCTGCCCCACTCGCCCCTGCCCATGCACGCCAGCAGCTCCACACTCCAGAGTCTGCTCAGCCATGGCTACATGCCGCTCCTGCAGAACCGCCTCCAGCACGGTCCCCCCGGCTCTGGAAACAACAACAACAATAATCACTCTCACAATAACAACAACAACTCCTCCTCGGCGACCACGACAGGGACATCAAAGGGGGAGGCGCCCACATCTACCTCATACTGCAATGAACTGTCGGCGGCAACGAGCAGCAGCTGCAGTCCGCCCGGCTCCGTGGTCAGCACCACGGACAACAGCCTGATGATCAATCCCCGCTACCTGTCCAACCAATCGCAGTCCAATCCGAACGGCTCCAATCCCCACCAGCAGCAGGCCGCTTACCAGCTGTCCGGCTCCGGCATGGGACCCCTCAATGGCCCCAACTCGATGAAGGACGGAGGACTCTGCTCCCCGGACATGTTGGGCAACTATCCGCATACGACGACGGCCACCACGACGGGCTCCGAGCTGCGGACGGGCACCCCCAAGGCCAAGCGATCGCGGGCCCAAAAGAAGTCCAGCCAGCAGCACCAACAGCAGCAGCAGCAGTCGCAGCATCAGCAGCAGGGAGACAGTGGCAATGGTCCGTCGACGCCACAGATGAGCGCCATTTCGCCGTCGAGCGTGGGCAGCTTCAGTGCCAGCGATTTGAGTGGCCTTCTGGGCAAAGAGAAGCCCGTGCACCGGTGCAGCATCTGCAATCGGGGATTCCTCAACAAGTCCAACATCAAGGTGCATCTGCGCACCCACACCGGCGAGAAGCCCTTCCGGTGCGATGTCTGCGCCAAGGCCTTCCGCCAGAAGGCGCACTTGCTCAAACATCAACAGATACATAAGAGAATTGGGCGTGACTGACCGAGGCGGCGGCAGGCTCCTCGACAAATATCTTGATCTAGCTGGACCAACAAGAGGCAGAGAGCACGCTCTGAGTGTCTGCATCTGACCCCAGAGGCGGGGAGGGCCCCACTCCAAGGTCAAGTCTAGTCATCCCATCATCAGCAATACGGGTTCTTCTTCTCGGGATCTGGATTGCTCGATCGGTGACTGCTTCTCCTGGCCAAAGGCTTCTCCCAGCCTCTGTGTGCGTGTGTGCCATTGCTTGGCCGGGACAGTGACTGGAGTGGCGCAGGCACTCCGGCCCTTTTCCATACACAGGTCGAGCAATCTCATACACACACTTTTTGATATTCGTTGTTGTTGGTTGCTTTTGATCTCTATTGCCTACTCGTGAAACTATCAGAATTATTTGACAGTACTGAAGAGCAATCCATAAAGAAATACTCGTATAAACTCAACGCGTAAATAGCAGATACATTGAGAAGTTCTGAGTTCTTTTTTTTTATTTCTGTCATTGCTGGAAAAGATTAGTAAAAGGATTATCGAACGGATTTTACGTGAGTTCTGAGTTCCATAGATATTCCCATTGATGGATTTCGAATATGGAAATGGGAATTAGTTTCAAATCAAACCAAAAAGGTTATAGATACAGATATTGTCAGGCTAGCAAACAACATCAACCTACTACCTCCCAGCAGGCAAATGGTAATTGATATCCCTAAGATATACTCGTATGCAATAGTTGAGGCAACGATGGGCCAAAGAGACCACAAGCAATGTAAGAACAACGAAGCGTCCAATTGTCTTTCTGCAACTGTTGTTCTGTTTTGATGCAAATACGCGCACTTCTAGCGACCAAGGTCCTGGCACAGGTAAAATATAAATACATACATACACACATACATACACACATACATATATATATTTAAATCAAAATCTAGAAAATAATACAAATTAAGAGATGGAAATCGAAGTGGAACGGAGCGAAGGAGATGCGAAGTCCCAATTGTATAAAGTTCTGAAATGTTGTCTGTACCTCATCATGTTGAAAACTGTAAAAGTGACGAAGCATACAAATTAAACGTTTAATTTAAAATTAATCAAGCAAGAGCAATACAATTTTAAATTACAATTATTTTATAGTTTCTGTACAAACCAATGGAAGAGCATTACTCGTATTTATACACAAACATTTTCGATTGTAAGATTCAGTAGCGGGCTTGGCAAAATATTATTATTAATAATTAATTTGCAGAATAATCGTAATCGTGGAAATAGAAATATGGAAAATTGTTTAGCAATGTACTCAAGTATACAAAATACGAATACGATTTAATTTAGCTAATATCTTAAAGCGTTGTTAATTTGTTTTTTAAAAAATGTTTGTTGCTAAAGTTTTAAAGTTAATCTTAACCATAATCCTTAAATTATGTATGTTCGATATGCTTGAAATTATTTATGATTAATTAACAATTTTGGAACACCCACACACACACACTCAAACAAATAATAAATTACATTTTAAATATAAATTGAATTAATCTAATTTTAGTTGATGTTAATTCCATGGACAAAAAGCAAAAAACAATATCAATTGTGTTATTTTATTTAGCGTGCAATTTTATTTATTTTGTTCAATACATTTCGATTTGTAAATATTTATTTCGTAATTTTAGCGCCCTATATTTAATTAATTCTATTTAAATAAATACAAATGTCATTCAAAATGTGCAGAAAACAAATTAAGTTCACAATGTGGAAAATGTTTTTTGTATTTTGTATTTGGGAGTTTTATTTCGATCTATTGTTTGGGCGGTTCTAGTAGTTGGCTGTTGGACCTCTAGGCGTATGCGTAATGTATGGAAAGAATTTGGTTTGGTTTTTAAATGCGATTTTTTAGCTTAAGCAATGACTTTTGGGTGTCGCCGCATTGCATATGCCCCACACGGATCGGATCCCATTAGCAACCTCACTGCGTCGCACTGAGGCACGTTCAGCCACAAAATGGAGTAAGTAGCTACAGACCAGACCAGACCCCAAGCCAAGCCAGAGCCCAAGTCGAAACCGCACCGAACAGAAACCAAGAAACCAAACTAAACCAAACCGGCAAGTCGGGTAGAATCATTATATTGACCACAAAGAAAGCCAGTGGAAGAAAGAGTCAAAGAAAGAGGGAGAAGCCCACATAGTGGTATAAGATACATACATACATACATACATACAGACGAGTATATACAAATACAGAGATATAGCCGGAGACGGAGACGGCGACAGAGAATGCCATACATACTGTGCCACTGACCCAATTTCCAAGACTCGTTTCTCGTTTGCCACAGCAGAACCGCAGCGGATTTGAAATGTTAACTCGAAGCAGCAGCAGCAGGAAAACAGATACAAAGATACTTTGCTCTTTCACCGCAGCAAGTCTGGAGGTAGACAACGATATACTGCCTCCATAGGCATGGGGATACGACTCTATAGGAGTGTGTGTGTGTGTGCATGTGAAGTGGAGTCTCGACTTCAGGCGAGTCGGGTTCAGTCTCGCATCCGCATTTCTATGCTGCAGAGTCGCTTCATCTGGTGCTGCTTTTGCTGCCGTTGCTGCTTCGCCTGCTTCTTGATGTATCTGTAACTCGTTTCTGTATCTTGCGCCTTGTATCTGTGGCACTTAAATTTATGCAACATCATGGCAATGTCTCTGATGGTACTGGTATCGTACCCTCCTCATGCCACCCCCCCTTCTGTCCCATCCATGTCTTTCTCTGTCGCTTCGTTTTGTTCTAATCAAACTGTGCTACGTGCTGCGGCTGTCGCGCTGTCATGGGTTAAGTACTCAAGACTCGAAATCTATAAAATTTTATTTCGAGATTTTGGCAACAGAGAACCTAATGATGTAATTTGAAATGCATTAGAAACGGCAGATCTCCTCCAACCCCAACTAAGCCCCCCGATGTTCACTTCTGTGGAATCTCTTTTATCTGTTTTCTTCTCTTCTCCATTTCTAATTAAAGTTTATGTCAATTAAAAGTCATTTTCCACTCATTCATCTTTTATTTTTGGCCACTTAATTGCAGGCGGCAGCTAACAATGTGCCCAAGCATGACCCAGATCGTGCAGACCATGCAGATAACACGGAACAGGGGGAGTCCTACAGATAATCCCACAAATGGCTGAGCAGTCATTTGGGGACTGGAGATGGAGAGTGGGAAAGATGCTCCAAGCTTAGGGTAGAACCATAGCTGGGTAGAGAGCTGGATGGGGAATTAAATTTAATTATGAAATATAATATAATTCATCCAGCAGGACATATTCCCCAATACCCAATTCTCTTTAACATATCATAACAGATATTCACAGGCTAAATATGAAGTTCTGTATTTACTGGCTATTTCCTATACTCAACATCCCCCCACATCTGACTCATCTGGTGGTAAAGTCTTGCTCTCGACCTTTCTAGGCGGCCTCGTCCAGTCGAGACTATTCTCTTTTTCGCGATTCCTCCATTCCCCACACTTCACGGGCAGCAATTGCAGTTTACCGTTTGCTTTGGTTTATTTTTGGCACATGCAGTGGGAGCACCAGCAACAACAACTGCTCCCTCCCTCCCCTCCCCTCCCTCTCCCAATGGCTCCTCATCCTCCTCGCATTCTCTCCTCTTTGTGACAGACGGACAGGATAGTCCAAGGTAAGTTATTTGGAAGGTAGGCAGGCACTTCCGAGCCAAGAAAATCTGTGGAAGCAGCTAAGACCTTTCACCGACAGGAGATCGGGACTGCCTCACCTTATTTTTCCATATACTTTGGGCAAGTCTCTTCTAGTTGTTTTTGTTCAAAATAGCAAATCGGGCGTCGGTCGGCGGTCGGCGGTCGGCGGCGGCGCGGTCGGTCGTGGGTCTGGGTCTGGGTCTTCGTCGCATATTCATATTGTCCAGCAGCTGTTGTTGCTTTTGTTGTTGTTGTTGTTGTTGCTGCTGCGGTTGCTGCTGCTGCTGCTGCCCCTCCTCTGCCTAGGCTGTGTGGCGCAGTTAAAGACACAATGACCTTGGGTGAAAGTTGCTCTCCATTTCTATTTTGTATTTGTTTGTGTGTGTGTGTACTGTTTGTTGTTTGTCTATTTTTTTGTGTGGCACTGTCAATGCTGCTGCTGCTTCTGCTGCTGCTGCCGATGCTGTTGTTGCTAATGTTGTTTTGTTGCTGCTTCTGCTATGCCATTTTTGTACGTACATACAAATGTGCATATATGTATGTATACATACAGTACATAGTGAATGTAGACAAACAGATTTACACATGTTTATACGAAAATAGCTTTACATATATACATACATATGTACATATGTATGTAAGTGCTAACGTTTATGCATACAGGTACAGTGAATGATCAATAATCGGAATACCTTTGTTATCAGCAGCACCACTCAAACGTCATCGAAGTCTCCGTATTTTTTAAATAAAAACAAACATGTACAACAAATATTCAGATATAGATAGATCCAATAGATATTCCAATAGATCTCTCGTCAAATAAGATATGTATTTCCTGGGTAGTTTCCCACTTATTGGACATATTCCTGGATTAGACCCACCCCCGGAACCCATTGTTTCGGGTATCAAACGCCCACTCTACTGTTAGTTTTAACGATTTTGTTTCGTCTCCATATTGGCTTTTGTGACGCCTTTGTGCTCTAACTCGCCATCTCTCTATTTATTTCTTTTCCCCTTTTGTGCTGAAGTTTTGAATACTTTTGCTCTTGATTGAGACTTTGATTGATGCACAGTCAAGCGCATGATGGGGGCAGGGGCAGAGGATGGGTAGAGGCAGAGCCACAAAACAGAACGGAAATGGATCGCGTGCAGGAAGTAGAGGGTGAGAGGAAGTACGACACGGGGCACTGTGTGAATTTCGGATGGACTTGGACTTGTTAAATGCGAAAATGTTGCAATATTCATAATTTATGCATTCGCTTTTTCGGCAATTAAAAAATATAATTCATATCCGAAATTGCAACTTTTGATTTT